TAAACTCCTCCCTGGTCATTTGTCCAAGTTTCCACTCTTTGTAAGCTTCCTTTTTGTGCTTAAGTTCACCAAGGATTTCTCCTGTAAGCCAATCCAGTCTCCTACCATGTTTTCCTCTCTTGCTACACGTTGGGATGGTTTCTTTCTGTGCCTTCAATAAGGCTTCTTTAAAATACTGCCAGCTGTCCTGGACTCCTTTCCCCTTCATGTTAGCATCCCATGGGATTCTGCCCATCAGATCTCTGAGGGAGTCAAAATCTGCTTTTTTGAAGTCCAAGGTGTGTATTTTACTACTCTCTTTTCTTCCTTTGGTCAAGATCACGAAATCTACCATCTCATGATCACTGCTTCCCAGGTTGTCACCCACCTCCACTTCCCCTATTAGTTCCTCCCTGTTTGTGAGCAGAAGGTCAAGCTGCGCAAAGCCCCTGGTCGGATCCTTCAGCACCTGTGTCAAGAAGTTATCCCCAACATTCTGCAAAAACTTCCTGGATTGCCTGTGTACTGCCGTATTAGTTTCCCAACAGATGTCAGGTAACCTCGGAGAGTGGCAACCTGATATGCCAGGAGTGTAACGGGGTTGTACCTGTGTATAAAAGTGAACTCCGAAGGGTTGTCTTTGTCTGACTTAGGGGGTAGTCTCTCATCTCTAGCTCTGAGTCAGTCCATTGTAACAGGCATACATGTGTTAACCTATCTGTGGACCAGGACTGGCCTTACCATGAGGCGAATTGAGGTGGCTGCCTCAGGTGCCAGACTGTGGGGGAGGGCGCCACTTGGCCAGGCCCTGCTCACAGAAGTTGGCAAGATCAGGGCTGATATTACAGAAACACTCCTACCTAAGGAGGGCTAGGCACAGGCTAAAAGCACATTCCAGAGCGGTGTCTGCTGGTGCATATGTAGGTAGCAGAGCAGTACCATGAGGAGTAGAACAGGAAGAAGGTAGAATTGAGACCTGTCAAAGTTTTTGCCCAAGCAAGGGGAAATGGGGGCGTCATTTGAGCTCCCCGCCTCAGGTGCCAAAATGTTGTGGGCCGGCCCTGCTGTGGACCTTTGGTCTGGGGAAGCTAGGACCGTGCTTCCGCTACAATAACCTGGGCTGGGCGCCTTCGATCCTTATTGAATATTGTGGTCTTTGGGGGTTCTCTTGAAGTCGGCTGTGCTGACTAATTGTGCATGGTCAACACAGTAACAAGGGGAGTAAATGCAGGAACGCACACAGCTGAACGGTTACACTGCTCTACAGCCAAAATGCTTCTGAAATAAATGTAGTCAAACTTTACTAATTCTGGGTCACCGAGAACAAAAATTGTGCTTAAAATTGTTGATTGGCTCTAGTTTTCAAGATATGCTATTGGATCAGTATATACGACCCTTGATTTGCGAATGGCGGAGGATAAGTGAGTTATAAAGGGAAGGGATCTCAATTTAAACCAGAAATGACTAAAATACATCTTTAACTGGATCTATGAATAAATCTATGAGTGGGTTTGGACAGTACTTGCTTTATAGGCAAAACAATGAATGATGCAATCTGAAGCTGGTATTGCGTCATACATGATATGAATTGCGTCATGTTATTCCTAGAAGTCATGGATGATGACATCGTAACGAAGCTGACATCACTGTACTGAACAAATTGCCCTGTATCAGCTCTAGAAATCATACAGTGTTGTGCTCTCTTATTTGTCAGTGTTTGATTTTGCAAAGGGACACATTTCTGTTTAGCCGAAGTGAGCAGAGATGCCTCGTACTTGTGTAAACAGTGCAGATAACTTCTGCTATGTTTGTGGTGAAGTGACTTTTGCATCACAAAAGCACAGTATAACCACTATGGTTGAGAAAGCCTATCACCTTTATTTTGGCTGCAAGACCAGAATCATTCTCACTTGAGTCAGACGAGGAAGAGGATGAAACTTCTGGTCCTGAACCATCAATGTCACAGAACCCACATTTTCTCCCATCCTCCTCCTCTGAACCACACTTCATAACACAAGGTGCACTGAATGACCTTGTCAGGGACCTTTTGTTTCATAATAAATTTTATTTATATAACCCTTTTGCTGATTTTTAAAGTGTTACATAAACAGGACAGGTGAAATATCATCATGTAAAGCAATCATAAACACACGAAAAGACCTAGATTTATGATTAAAACTCTACTATCTACACAATATAGACGTAAAGTGTAAAAACTTAAATATCTTGGAAACAGCAGCCGATCAGTTGTTTTAATTGTCATATTTGAATTCAGCACATCAAAATACATAATAAATAGCACATTTTATCTCTGAAGCAGATGACTTCTAAAAAATTGTAGACCAGAGTTATCATTGTAGACGGAGCAGGAGACCTGTCAGGATGCCACCGGTGAATCCAGACCGCTACAACCATCAAGGGATCAGACATACTTATGCTTAGCAAGACTTATAGGCTACGTCTACACTGGCAACTTCTTGTGCAAGAACTCTTTTGCGGAAGAGTTCTTGTGCAAAAACTCTTCTATAAGAGAGCATCTACACTGGCATGTGCTTTTGCGCAAGAGCATCCATGCCAGAGTAAATGCTCTATTGTGCAAGAATGCTCTGATGGCCATTTTAACCATAGGGCTTTCTTGCGCAAGAAATTCATGTTGCCTGTCTACTCGGAAGCGGAGACGGTCTCCCACTTCATCCGCAGCTGAAACGGGTTCCCCGGCTGGCAGAAGGGATGTAAGAAATGCTGCTTTTCCTATCATGTTGTTCTGTTGTTTTAGCACAGCTGGTAGCTGTCAGGAAATAAACTGCTTGTGTTTGACAGATACCTGTGTAGCTTTTTTTGTACTTTCAGAACCCAGTGTCAGACCTGAGACTCACTCTTGCCGGCAACACCTGGTTTGCCTGGATCCAGCCCCACGGCTCAGCACTGGGGAGCTCGCGCTGGCGCTCTAGCCACCCACCTGCAGGGCTGGAGCACACAAAATCTACTAGGCTGGGCCTCCCTAGGTTCTGGTGTGTGAGGGAAATGTGGAGAATGTCTCTCTCCTTCTCAGTCAGGAGCTGCCACAATGAGAGGTTTGGGGTGTTTTTGGGAATTTTGGGGGGGCTTCTCCCTTGTGCATGGCCTCCGACTAATTTTTCTGTGGGTGTGTGGTCCCCCCAAAAGTAGAGTCTAAGGCTACGTCTAGACAGAGGCACTATTTCAAGATACTGGAAGGATCCTGAAATAGCTATTCCACGTCTCTAGCCACACCCATTATTTCAAATTCTCTCTCAAAATAATGGGCGCACTATTCTGGTGTCCCTGTAACCCTCATTCCACGAGGGTTAAGGTCTTGTTGGAATAGCACTTGATTTCGAGGTACGGATGCATTGTAGATGCACCCTAAGGGGAGAGGAAAAGCCTCTGAAAAGGAGAAGCAGAGGCATTGCTTAGAAAAGAATTTTATCGCACATCCCCTTGTCACAGCCCCTCTCCCTCACAAAGCAGCATTAGCCACCCAGCAAGATACCCCCTGAATATTTCTGTCCCTCCCTCCTTCAAGAGGCAGAAAGACCCTAGGAATTCTGTACAATCACAGGACCAGTCCCTCAACTGATGCTTATGGATATAGCTCTATGGACTTCGAAGGCACGTCACAGATTTGCAGCTGCTATGGAACAGGCCCACCCTGTTCATCAGCATCACTTGTTCTCCTGGCACATTTCAAAGGCAGTGGAGCGGAATCTTGTCAGACGGAGCAGTCACAGGTCCGACTCCCCCAGACATTTCCCTGCCTCATTGGCATCCTCTCAAAACCAGGTATAAAAGTTCCACTCACACACACCATGACATCCGAGACCACCATTTCACTGGTGGGACCATTTTTTCCTGCATTCGCCCACCCCTCTCTGAAGTTTGCACATGACCCCAGTCTGCTAGCAGAGTCCTGAGCAAAGGCACCAGCCATGGAAAGAGGCTTCTGGAGACCACTGGTTGTCCAGGTTTGAATTCTAACCGAGGAAGCGGTGACACTGCCAAGCTTCACACAAGCTTGTTAAGCCACTCTATCTTGTGACCTGCTGTACCTTTCACAGGCAGGCCCATGCTAGTATTACCATGCTCAGGTAGCTAAACGAAAGCAGTGTTCCCTCTAAGTTTTTCAATGTATGTGTAGAATAAATTTTGTTGTGCACCAAGCCATGTGCAGATATGCACCACCAATAGAAACATAGGCTGCTGGCTGTGGTCAGCTGTGGGCACTCTGCCTATCAGCCGGGCAGCATGCGAATCTCTCCTGGGTAACCACCCAGGCACTCAGCTTACCTGGAACACTGAATGGGAGCCCCTTTTTTAAGAGTGTCTCTTAGGCATGAGAGATACAGCCAGGCCCAATAACGACAAGTCCTGTGACACCTTATGGACTTGTCATGCATCTGACGAAGTGGGTCTTTGCCCACAAAAGCTTATGTTCAAATAAATGTTAGTCTACAAGGTGCCACTGGATTCCTCGTTGTTTATGCGGATTCAAATTAACACGGCTACCCCTCTGATTCTTGTTAGCCAGCCCCAATGACACTAGCTTCTCTAGGCATATCCAGTAGATTGTCTATCTTCAGCAAACCATACCTCCTTCCAGATACGGTTCAGGCCTTATGGCGAGCACTGGTAGGCTCCTCGCCGAGACCCACAACTTGTCCGGTACCCTGCCACTGTGATAGATGCCACTTAAAATGTCGGACACCAGTCGGGACGTCAAGTTGTGCAGGGAATTTTCCCCAGCCTGGCCTATGGTGTTTGTCAGGAGGGCGAGGGTAGTCTCAGTGGCAAAAGGGCTTCCATCGAACGAGCGCTGTATGGTCACCACCATGCCATAAGGTGCAAACTTCTCCCTCTCATAAATAACAGAGAAATACAGCCCAGTCTTCGGGTGCTCTCCCCAAGGAGGTGGAATCCTCTTGTAGTCTTGTACCTGGACTCTCACTGAATGAGGCAGACCTTTTCCTGTGGCCAGCAGGGAGAGGGTCCATCTTGAGAGGCAAACGAGCGTATTCCTCGCATCCCCCAGCCCAACAGCCACCAAAGAGACTCCAAACCCCTCAGGATGGTCAGCCCAACGCAGGCCGTTCACGCTGCTCTGGAGAGCACGCCATGTTGTTTCCAGCTGGCTTGGGAAAAGACGACAAAATGGGCTGAGTCTTTTGTCCAGTAAACAAACTCCATTACAGCCGAGGGCCCTGCAGTGATCCAAGGGCCCTCGGCCGGTGTTGCCGTAAATCAGGAAGAGAGAGACAAGGATGAAAACAAGGCACAGGATGCCTGCAAGTCTGACAGACGACAAGAAGTCAGAGTCTTCTGGCCGCAGCGAAACAGGCTCAGAGGATGCTGAGGAAACTTGGCTTCCTCTGGATTCCGTCTCCACTGGATGCCTAGGCTGACGATTCAGGGATGCTGGTAGGTTCATGTAGTAGCTATCGCTTTCCTCAGATGGCTCCTTCTCAGGTGGCAGGTTTTGGTCTTCTACTACTGGAAGCAAGAAAATAAAAATACCATCAGCCAGATGGGAGAAGCATGCAAGAGGCCCAATCCATCCTCCATTAGCCAGCTTTCCATTGAAGTCACTCGAACACAACAAGTACAGGACTGAAGTAACAGGGTGGGCAGCCTTAGCCTAGCATGCCTGGTGACAGGACAGGAAGCCAGAGGATTCACATTCTGTTCCAAGATCCAAATTATTCCTTATCTGCCAGGGTGACTCCTTCATGTTTGCAAAGCGGAGGAGTGCCACTATGGTTCACGAAGGCTGTTTTTCAGCAGCCTTAAATCAAGGGGATTAACCCTAATCCATTCACACACGACACTGATGGTTAAACACTTCCATGATGTGGTAAAAAGAAGGGAGTCCGGGGCAAGAAGGAAAGGGACAGGAGAGAGGCAGCAGCAAGAATCTAATGACTTTGGAGGAGAGATCCAGAAACAAAACTACTCACAAAGGAGAAGGCAATGTACAGCCTGTGTGTGTTTGTGCACAAAAACACACACTCCCCTGCCACACCATGATTGACCAAACTGAAAATACATCTGCCTCACTTGGCCTTGAATGAGGGGCAGGCAAGAGTGTTAAGAAACCCTACAGAAACAAATTTCAGAGGAGTAGCTGTGATTCAGAAAAAAAAAAAAAAAGTCACTGTAGCAATTTAGGGTTTCAGAGGAGTAGCTGTGATTCAGAAAAAAAAAAAAAAAAAAAATCACTGTAGCAACTTAGGATTGCTACACTGCAGGGCTTGACACAGATCAATTTGAGTTAATTGCGTATCTTATTTCATATACAGAGCGTCTACACAGCACTTATTTCAAAACAGAGCACTCCTCCTCCGATTTCCCTTATTTCTCGTACAATGAGGATTACAGCAGTCGGAGTAAGAAGTCCTCTAGCCTGACAGCGTTTTGACACTATTTTGAACTGCCTGCCTGCTGTGTAGACACGGACTATGTTATTTTGGAATAATTTCAGTGTAGATGTACTTAGAGACTAACAGTTTTATTTGGGCATCAGCTTTTGTGGGCTGGAACCCACTTTATCATATACATGAAATGGAAACTTCAGTTTGACCGAGACATAGCCACACAACGTGTATCTACAATCTACTAATGTGATATATGCCCTCATGTGAGAGCAATGCCTCTCTGCCATGTACGTTGGCCAAACCGGACGATCTCCATGCAAAAGAAGAAATGGACACAAATCAGACGTCAAGAACAGTAACATTCAAAAATGAGTCAGAGAGCACTTCAGGTTCTCTGGACTCTCAATAACAGACCTGGAAGTTGCCAGACTTGAGTAAAATAACTTCAAAAAACAGAGTGCAGCTTGAACCGGCAGAGCTGGAATTCAGATGCAAACTTGACACTCTCAGACTGGGTCTGAGCAGGGACTGGAAGTGGCTAGCTCACTGCAAAAAAATCACTTTCCCTCTTTTTGTACCCTCACCTTTTTACCATGTCTTGGAAGTAGGCCACTTCCACCCTGATTGAATTGGCCTCATTAACACTGGCCCTCCGCACAGTAAAACTCCCATCTCTGCATGTACACACACTTAAATTTCTTAAAGGTACTGTCATACCGTGCTCCCCAACCCCTTGACTAGGGTTGCCAGGTGTCCAGTATTCCCCTGGACAGTCTGGTATTTTCACTTCCTGTCTGGTATAAAAAAAAAAACTTCCACCCTGATTGAATTGGCCTCATTAACACTGGCCCTCCGCACAGTAAAACTCCCATCTCTGCATGTACACACACTTAAATTTCTTAAAGGTACTGTCATACCGTGCTCCCCAACCCCTTGACTAGGGTTGCCAGGTGTCCAGTATTCCCCTGGACAGTCTGGTATTTTCACTTCCTGTCTGGTATAAAAAAAAAAAGAAAATACTGGACACCTAAGATGGCCGGTATTTTCTGATTTTTTTCCCCAGCCAGGAGGCAAAAATGCCAGGCACCTGGCAACCCTACAAACACTCAGTGCCTGGCTTCCACCCCCACCCCCAGGCCCCAACACCTTCAGCCCCCCCGATCCCAGACCCCATGCTTACCTGGTTCTGCATGGCTACCGGCAAAAAGACCAAAGGGGAAGCAATGACTCCCCTTAGTGCACAACTGCTCCCCTGTTCCTATCCCTGCACTCACTCTTAAAGGGGACATGCTGTTTTAATGCTATTTAATTTTAATTAAAGGGGACATGCTGTTTTAATGCTATTTCATTTTAATGTTTTTGTTTTGTTTTTTGCTTAATAAGTCTTGGAGTCTTTTTTTTTTTTTTGCTCAACAACTTTGGTTCCCCCCCCCTTTATTTTCCCTTCAACAATATTTCCTCAGTGTTTTTTTGGCGGGGGGGGTGAGGGAAGGGTTTGCAGTATTTTTGTTTCAACCATCTGGCAACCCTACCCTTGACTTGAAGGGAGGGTGGTACAACAGAACCTGTAAGAAATGTAAGTTACTTTTACCTCTGCCCAAATCAACAAGTGACTGCTCTCAAATTTAAATTTACAGGACATTTGGTTATATTCTCTCAAATTTAAATTACAGGACATTTGGTTATATCAATCACTTGAGAAAGGCTGAGTTTTGACTCGAACGTCACAGGTTTTGCTGTTCTTTAAATGAAAGATGAGGCACAACTACGCAAGCTTATTTAACTGCTCTTTAATACACTGAGAAGATGGGGTACAATAATTAACACTGGCTAAGCAGTAATGCTCAAGAGGTGAGCACTGAGGGGGGGGGCAAAGTCATATCCTGCATGTCCTGTCCCACCCAGAATATCTAGATGCGCCCCTGGCTAGGACTTAAACCAGATTTGCCAATACTGAGCTAACCGTCTCTCTCAGATGTTTGCAAGCCAGATGTAAAGGCAAAGCCACTTACCTTCCCCTTGGAGCCCAGACATCCTTGGCCCAGTCCCAACACAGCTTCTCCGAGCCTCCTGCGCTCCTGACTTCCCCACAAGAATTGGTTCCCTCAAGAGGCCTGGAGCAAAAGGATGTCACAGTGAGTGACCCAAGCTGCCAAGTGGGGATGCTTTGCGCCCAGTCACTGGGCAATCTTGCTGAACTTCCCTTGTTCTGCTCCCCAGCTGGCAGACACAAAGCTTGGTGCAAACGCAGTACAGCAGTGGACACTAACCAGTCGATTGGGAGCTACCGGTAGATCTTGAAGCCTCCGGACAGGTGATCTTGACTGGTTTGGCCAGGAAGCTATCAAGCACTAGCACGTCAGTTGCCCCACCCCCTACTCCTGCCTTGGATCGGCCCGCCTTGGATCTGCCCCCCTGAGGGCCTCCTACTTGCTGTGCAATGGTATGGGAGGGAGAAGAGGGGGGTGTTGATGTCAGGGTGTCCCTTCTTCCCCCACTTCTGTACCTGATGTCCACACAGAGAGAAGGGGATGGAGGAAGCTTAGCAATGCAAATTTCCATCACTCACACACTCTGTGTGTGCGCGCATGAGCAATGCAAATTTCCATCACTCACACACACTGTGTGTGCGCCCATGAGATTCTCTCTCTCTCACACACACACACACACACACACACACACACACACACACACACACACACACTCCTTCACTCTCATCTCCTGACCCAACAGATACATAGGGGGTTGTTGTTGCTCCTTTTACTGTTTGCAAAGTGTGTCCATTTTGGTTTTTTGACTGGTCTGTGCATTTCATCCTTTTCATTTCTCTCTTACACTTTCATTTAATTCTTTGAGGAGTGAGTTCTAAAATGCCTAACCTGTCGTGGCTGGAGTCATTATCCCCATGGTAATTGCTGCTCCTGGAAGTGGCTGGCATGTCCCTGAAGCCCCTGAGAAAGGCAGGGTGGAGGGAGGGATCTCCACATGCTGTCCTTGCCTACAGACACTACTCCTGCAGCTCCCATTGATCAGTAATGGGGAACCGTGGCCAGTAGAAGCTGTGGGCTCAGTGCCTGTAGATGAGGGGTAGGACATGGTGCCATGGAGCCACTGCTGAACATGCCAGCTGCTTTCAGGAGTGGTGCAGGGCCAGGACAGGAGTAAGCTGCCTTAACCCCACTGCTGTACCACCCAGAAGCTGTCTCAGTTAAACAGTGCCCAGCCAGAGCCTGCTTCCTGAACTCCTATCCCAGCCCTGAACCTCCTCCTACACCCAACCTCCTGCCCCAGATGCGAGTCCCCCTGCACCCAAACTCCTTCCCAGAGCTTGCACCCTGAACCCCCTCCTGGACCAAGCCCCGAGCTCCTCCCACACTCCAAACCCATTGGCCCAAGACCAGAGCCTGCACCCCAACCTCTTACTGCAGCCTGGTGCAAATGAGGGAGTATGGGGGGGGGAAGGAAGGGAGGATGGAGTGAGCAGGGTGAGGCCTCAGAAGGGGTGGAGGAGGGGCAGGGCCCCGAAGAAGGGGCAGGAAGGAAGTGGGGCAGGGGTATTTGGGTTCGAGGTAGATCTTACATTGAAAAAGTGATTGTGTGGTTAAAAAGGTTGGAGACCCCTGCAGGACAGTATTGTGGCACAGTTGTGTGCTGGCTGGCCTGGGTCTGTTGCCACCCAAGACAAGGCGAAGCAGGGGGGGGGGGGGGGTCGAAAGGACCCGGCTCTCAAGAAACTGAACTGAGGGTGGAGGGTGTGTTTCCAGTCAGCAGAGAAGGCAAAATTGTTTTGAAGTCAGGAGGAGGAGCTGCCTCCTTCCTGTAATAAATAACCGGTTCTGTTTACTGCACTCGTGTTCACATTGTCATTCCAGGGATTCTTCCAGCATGTGCTGCCCGCCAGGGAGACTCTTATCAGGCAACAGTAGAAACGCAAGAGCAGCAAACCAGATAAGAGCAGAAATTAGAGATGGGCCCCAAACCTAACCCTGAATCTAAACTCAAGAGATTCAAGGGTGTCAAAAATCCAATTCTGCATCCCGCCTCCTTCCCCCTGGAGCCAGACCAGAAGACGTGTGTGCGTGCTCATTTTGTTACTCCGTCTCCAGAAAGCCAGCAAGTTGGAACATCCCTTCCTAGCGTTGGCAAACGCCTTGTGCCAGCAGCATCCAGCAGTGCTTGCTCAACAGCTATTGATAAATCCAGGTTATCTGAATATCAAAGCCAGATAGAGACTGTGTTGTGAGATGCACATGGGAGTTACCTGTGTTGATTTAATTAATTTCATTATATATATATATGGGGGGGGGTTGGCAGTTATGGTGTTGCTGGCTAAAAGGTTAAATCATTCTTAGTTTTTGCAGGTACCAAGACTCCATGGCTGTAAACAGCCCCCCTGGCAAGTACAGGAGATACCCCCTAAAAGGAACTGAGGAGGCCATCTTGCAGCTCCAGGTGGGAACTCTGAAACAAAGGGCTTGCGGTCTGTGATAAGCTGAGACTTCAGGGAGACAGGTCAGCAGAAGACTCAAGAGAACAGAGAGTGCGGAGGCAATCTCGCAGGAAATAAGTTTGGTTTCATTCAAAATTTCCCGTGAAACTAAAGTTTAGCAGCATTGACACTGGGAGGAAAACTGGTTTAAATGAAACCTGGTTTTTGGTGGGAAGAACTTCCCACATGAAGAATTTCAGCCATCTGCACGGTTCCTTCTAACACTCCCCTTTGACAAGTTGGGGCCCACCCTTCTTTCAGCTCATGGTAGTGAGAGTCATTTCTGTAGCCCAAGAGGTTTTTGTGGTGAAGGGAAGCTGCTCTGTTGACCAACTCTCCTCTTTTCTGGTCCAGGCATGGGTCTGGAACTGGTGTCAACTCCACCATCATCAACCAATGACAGTGAAACCTGGACACTTAAGAAGACATGCTCAAAAGTTAGATGCTTGCGGAGAACTTTAAGAGTAAGCTTATGAGGGAAGGAAGATGAACAAAGAGGTCATAAAAATGCTAAAGCAAGGTCTCTGTTGCAAATAGTTTGTTAGAGAAGAAACAGACGACCCAGGAGCAGATAAGTCTTTATTGCCCAAGCATGTTTACCTTGGATATTCAACACAATGTCCAAGCGGCAACAAATCAGCACCAGTTATACTCTTTCACTTATTTTAGTATGCTAATTCGCACGATTATTACTTTTCTTAAAACCTTATTTAGTAAATATTAATTCCCATAAAATGAACATTAACAAATGAATACAATTATACCTGCTCCTAATTACTATTTACAAAATTTCTAATTAAATTTACACTTTTTTACACTACAAACTTTCTAAGTCAACAGGTTACAGAAATTAGACAAAAAATTAACCCTGAAGATATTTTATACAGAGCCAATGAAGATAAGCAAAAGACACAACAAAGTAAAGCGATTCCATATTTATTTGGTTTCCTAGGCTACAAGAACATGTTTATACATCAGAAAGGATAATACCGGTTTTGACCGGACTCCTAATCTATCTTCCCAAACAAAAAGGAAAAAGCATGTTTAAAGGGTAATGCTGTGGCTAATCCCTTAACCACGAATGTAGAACCATTTCAGATCCCTATTAAATTTTACATATCCCAATAGTTTATAAGAAAAGACATCAATGGCTAAGTCATGTGTTATGAATGAATCAGAACCAACTACCGATTATGGCTCTCAGCTGGAAGCCAGAAAACCCAATGAGAAAAATGGGTAGATGTAGGATGACTTGGAAGCGTACGATTATCCAGTGACACAGGAAAAAATCATTTGACATGGGAGGACTTAGGTCACGTAGCCGCTGATAAAAAGCCTGGAGGATGTGGGTAACCCAATGTGCTGAAAAGCATGGGATGGAAGAAGGCCTACAGTCCCTTCAGCTGGAGATCTCAGCCTGGGACACTGACCACACGCTCTCCCCCTCCCCCGCCCCCCCTTCCATTCAGGACACAACCTGAAGCCGTGTGCATCAATGTACTACACCAGTCATGGAGGGTCCCATGCTACAAGAGAAGGGCTGGGGGATGGCAAGTGATGGCTCCATGGATAGTGTTCGGTTCCTATGCCAATGGAAGCTAGGTAAATCCCTAGACAGAAGCAGTGGTAGAAGACAGGAATGTGGATTTACAGAGACTTGGTGGCAGTGTGGCAAGAGGATAGACCCCAGCACACAGCAATGGGTTCTGCACATGACAAGACCAGGGCTACAGGAGCCATCGGTGTGCCAGGACCAAGGTGTGGAAAGGCAAGCCAGAGAGGGAGAGATTCATAAAGAGCTGGGTCCCAAATATAGCCATGAATTTCTGCATGGCCAAAGCCCTACCAGAATGTGGGGAAGATTCAAGATCCAGGGGGGACGCTGGTGCCCAGCTGAAGCATTCAGGACTGGAATCCCATCAGTTCGTCCCTCATCCTCCTCCCGCCCTGCCCTCTGCTGCTTGGCAACAGAGAGAGCCAGCAAGCACAGGCACTGCCTCTGGACCATGCCTCAATCATTGGTCGGCCACCTGTCGCATAGACAGAGAGCAGATGGGATGTTTTTCCTCATTTCCCGTCTGAAAAAAAGACTCACACCAGGTTAATGGGGGGAGGGAAGCAAAACCACAGATGGGAGGAGCGGGGTAGTAGAGTCACCTAAAGAAGCCAGGCCCTGATTGTACAGGGAAGAAGAACAAGAGATTCTTCCAAGAACTCGGTTCCTTCGAGATTTGTCCTGAGGTCTGGGGACCTCACACTCACCCCTGAAGGTGAATTTCCCTTGAGCACCACAAGTTCAAGAACAAAATGTAACTTTCCTCGAGTAGAATGTTTTGCAGCTAGCCCCTAATTTCCAACATAAGTCAAACAGGACCTGAGACCGCAGGCCCAGAAGAGCATTCCCTATTGAAGAGGGGGTGCTGTCCAGTCGGCATGCATTGTTAAGAACTTCCATGCTCTGCTCACTGACACATTCCCACTCAGGAAAACACCAGCCCCTCAGGCCCCAGGCCTCAGACACAGGCACCCTCCAAGAAATGCTTTTAAGGCCCGAGGCCTGTGTCAAGTTCCTGGGAGGAAGTTCGCTTATCCTGGGGAGAGTGTGAAATGACCTCTTTTGCCACAGTGTGCCCAGGAAACTCAGTGTTTCCTGGGAGGGACCTGTGTGCAGGCCACGGTTTTTCCTGGGGTGAACCCTTTTATGTGGCTTACAAAAAAAAAAAAAAAAAAAGGGACTCGGGGCAGGTGCGGATGCCAGAATTATTCTTCATCCAACCAGGCCAAAATTCAAAAGCTAGAGTGAAAGTAAAAACAGCTCCATTTTCACTGAGGCACGAGCCTAATTGTGCACACGGAACCACGACAGGGTGGATTTGAGCCTGGGACCAATGGAGCTTAATGTAGGAGCCTCTACAGCTTGCGCTATAAAGTCAGCTGGCTCTCAGCTTATGCTGTAGATCTCACTTGTTCTTATTTCTTGCTGTAAGTGGTCTAAGTGCCACTCCATGGGACAGTGAGCCACACTAGGTAGGTACATGCACACTAAGTCTCCGGCTCCCAGTGAATGTGTGTGCTGTGAACTCTGCCACACCACCCCCAGTCAGGCAGCTTCTAGAAAAACTGCAAGGGCCTCCTAGGACATTGGCAGTAAAGTTGTCAGACCCGCTCTGCGTGCCACTTTGCAAGAGGCAGGCAGGCTTGCAGTGACCGAGTTCTGAGAAAGGGGGAGAATTAGACACACTCCAGGCAGAGCGGAGCAATTCTCCCAAAGATACAGAGACAGGGTTTAAAGTGAGAGCTTGCTTCCCAGTGGAAACAAGAGGCAGGCACCTCAGGGACAGTAGGGCACTTCCAGCTACATTCAGAACCAGAACCAAAATCCACCGCTCAGACCCATCTTTTGATAACATACAAGTCAGCCCCTGGGAATGGCTTACCTCAGCCTGGAAGCCACAGAACCTCTCTCCTCCATCAAATCTACTCTCTTGCTACAATCTCTCCCGCTGGGACCCACACTTTATCCACCTCTCAGTTATTTTGAAGGTGTGGCCAACCCAGCCTTCAATGAGGCCCTTAACCTAGTTTTCTTCAGCCATCCTTTCAGTTAAATCATTAGACATGCACTCAGGTTACCTGGGATCAATCACTGGTTGCCCGTGTGAGCCTGGGCAAATCACTTAGTCTATGCCTCAGTTTCCCCCCACCTATAAAACAGAAACACTCAGCTAGCAGAGGTGCTAGGGAATAAATTCACTCGTGTTTATAAGGCATTCCGGGACCATAGCAGCAAGCTTATAAGTAAGGCAAACAAAACTCTCATCAGACCCACCCAGTCTACTTTGCCAACATCTCTGCAGGCTTGCTGAGGCAAGACCCTTCTTCCTTACACCAGTTTTACATGTTTGATTTCAGAGGCATTACCCCTGAATTAGGTAGGCTCTGTTTCCTTAACCTCCCCATGAAGCAGCATGCACAGCCCTGGCACTGTGCTGGCGAGCACCAAACAAGACAGAGCTTACATTCCTCTGCATTCAGAGCAGGCACTAAACCCAGTGCCCTGGTTGTAAGGGACCTGGAGGAGAGGTGGATTGGGGGCAGCCAAAAGGAAAACCTCAGACCCTTCAGCTGTTCATTGAAGAAAACACAGTCCATCCAAGACCACAAGTCCAAAAAAGAAATGAGATGTAAACATTTACCTCATCCACCTCACGACTCCACACAGCTCCTTACCCTGCAAACTTCCTCAGCCTCTCAATTAAGCTCAGGCAGGTGAAGTTTTCCTCAGGTGTGTTGCCACCTGAAACTCTTCTTCCTGAAGCCAAGGTGTCCGCTTGGTCTTAACACCCACCTCATCCCTCTTTGTAGATCCCAGGAGCGCCAGTCAAAGCTATCTTCCTACCACAGGGTTGGCTTGCATCTGAGGGGGCCTTTCTCACCTCAGCCCATGGATTTGCATAGAGAACCCCCCAGCTATGGGCTTTCTAGCCTCAGCTTCAAGGGTCTCTTTCAGTGGGTAAACGTGTAAATATTCGCCTTTCATCTGAGGCTGACAAAATGGAGTGATAAAGGACATCTCCCAACCCAAGTGGGTAGACAAAGCCATTTCATTTGCCACATTTTAGAGCTTGGGAAACTGAGGCACAGAGCAGGAAGGTCATCCATAGCATAGCTGGGACTATAGTCAGGGTCCTAACAACATCCAAGTCCTCTGTTCCAACCCTTCAATGAACTAAGTCTCTAGTTGACAGAAGGGTGCAATGTGTTGGACCACCTATAGTAGACAGTCAGTATGTGTATTCAGCCTCCCTTCTGCCAACAGGAGCCTGGCACCCAAGCTGGTAACAACAAAGAACCCAGGGCAAGGTTCCCACTAATCATTTCCATCCATGTGCGGAATAAATTTTATGTGCACCGAGGCATGTGTGAATGTGCACCATCAGTAGAAACTAAACCTAATTGTGGGTGTCTGCTAAGGCATTGGAATCTCTCCTGAGCCTCCACCCAGGCTCACGGCTGAGTGTGAACACTTCTCAGCAGGTTCTCACGGGGACATCAAGAGCTGCATTATTTTAAAACACAGGCCCCTGAGAGATGCCTGCACCTCCCACATTTGTGTGCTTTCATGGGCATGGTGATTGTGCACACAGCCATAGGCATGCACATGCACCAGATTCCAGCACATAGTCAAGTTATTTTGCATGCACACCCTGGGCCTCCGGTACAAATATTTGGCCCCTCACCTCAAGGTTATGGATTCCGGCAACATCCCCAAGATCTGGATGGGAGATGGGTTATCAGAGCACAGCACAGAGCTAGTCTCTTGCGTCATCCCAGGCAGGAAGCTGGGCTCCCTAACACACCCACAGTGTTCTCAGAGAGCCTGTGTAGAGCAGACAAGGCCCGTTAGGTGAGAGCGGCCTGTGATAAGTGATATAATCGCTGACAGGCCCCGTGAGCCATAGCTCCAGCCTCCAAGCATGGTCCGGGCTGATCTGGAAGTGGGGGAGGGATAGTTCAGTGGTTTGAGCACTTGCTAAACCCAGGGTTGTGAGTTCAATCCTTGTGGAGGCCATTTGGGGCAAAAATTTGTCAAGGATGGTACTTGGTCCTGCTGGGAAGACAGAGGACTGGACTCAATGACCTTTCAAGGTCAGCTCTAGGAGAGAGGCAATCTCCATTAATTTAAGGAAGTTATTGGGAGTGCCTTCAATCAAGGCACAGAGTCAAAGGTACAGTTTGAGATGATGAAATGAATTGGATTGATCCTCTGCACTGCTCAGGTATTGGCACAGCCTGGCCAAACCCTCCACGGCACTGTCACCTTGCTCAGCACTGGGAAGTTGGCTGTTGCCAAGGGCCTACAGAGCAAACATATGAGCTGGGGCATGGCTGAGAAGGCTGGAGCCCCCCCAAG